ACAGCTCAATAACTTTGATATTGATATATCGATCCCATCATTTTCTTAATGCTATGGATATAAACTATCACTATTTTCTACCTTTTCTTTCTTTATTTTATTTTTATATATGTGCACTGTGCTGCATCTACAGCTCCAGATTCCAAGGTTTGTTATTATTAATGTCTAAAAATAATCTTCCTTGGGCTTATTGATTGCAGTCCCTTACCAAATCTAGAATTGCAGGTAGGAAAATAATTACTTACCAGTAATCAATGTTTTCCTACATGAATGAGCTGTGCCTCCATTTTAACTTTACCAGTGGCACCTGACATCAAAAATTCTTTGGCTTGATTCTATCTAATCCTCAGCTGTCCCCCATCCCACACTCCATTCACACAGACAAAGAACAGTCCTACAGAAGAGTCTGAGCTACTTTGATGAGCTACTTCTGCCTTGATCTTCCTTTCCCCCTTCCTAAGTTTGCAGTGGTAAGAATTACTCATGGGAGGCAAAACCATGGAATAACTTTTCTGATAGGCCTTCTTCTTAGAGGTTGGTGTGTGAATTGTGAAGACTTAGACTCATTTAAATTTTTGGAAAGAATAAGAAAATTCTCCTGTTCACCCTGAGATAGATGTGCCCACCAAAAGGCAGATTTTAGACCTGTATCTCCCCTGTGAGTTGAGGAGAGACTAAGCAGGTATCTCACCTTACCATGACTGCTGCTCCCAGTAATTAAGCTAAGAAACCAGAGGCACCTGCAGTAGCTTAAATGAAGTTTCTTTCACAGAATAGAGCTTTTAATGACGATGCCAAGAAAGTCCCCTTCTTGACAGTCTGATCAGGAATATTCAATGTCACTTTTGTATGCTAGGACTTAGTAATTAGTGAAGCTAAATGGAAGAGATCTCTCAGTGTGGGTTTTCCCACAGAATCCCCATGCTTAAGGGCTTTGTCCCTTGCTCCCCAAGTTACCTGGCACTTCCTCCAGCTGCAGGAGCCTCTGAAACAACTGAAAGAACAAGCAAAGTATTGGGTGGGAAGGTTGGAAATCCTCACTCCTTATGGGATTTAGTTTATATTATCATCTCATGGCAGATGCATAAAAGGAGGAGGAAACCCAGTAATTCTTGACAACACTAGCAACCCTGCAACGTAGGGTTGACAAGTTCATGCAAGCAAAATTAAGTATCAGCTGAAGGCCTGAAAGGGGAGGTAGTGGGGACTGACTGCTTATGGATCTGTCATGCACAGAAATGGACCTTTTCGGTTTTTGTTTTTTTTTTCAAATTTAGGAAAAAAAAAAAAAAGGTTTCTCTTCTGCCACCACAGTTTCTACCACCACTAGTGCTGGTACACTGCCTTTACGGGTGGTGGAGACAGGCACAGGGGTAGCAGAAGGGCCAGGCAGCACCTGCACCATTAGCCAAGACAGTTGTGGTGACCACAGCGGAAGGGCAGGAGAGTTCATGGGGGTCTTGAGAGTGTAGCTTATGGAAGGAGTTCCTGAACCCTGGGGACATGGTGGTTATTTCCTCAGGGATCAACAAAAACTTAAGTGTTACCACATAACTGTGGTTAAGCCAATGATGATGAAAACAAAGTTTATAAACTGACTTTTTTCCCCATCTATAAATTCAAAACAAGAGGATTGAGAAGACAGATGAGAAAAAACTTCCTGCCTGGGGGCTGAAAGGAACTAAAGAAAGAGGATATAATTTGGTCTGGATACCAAGTCAGTTTTGGATAAAAAAGCAGAGCTGAAGCTATTCCAGGTCTTCTACAAAACCAAAATGTCTCCTGTACCAAGTGCCTGTGGCACACAGTCATCTCAAGCTAAAAAGGGCTGGAAAGACTGAAAACCCAGTTCTTATCTTTCTTTGCACGTCATGACTAAGGCTCTCAGCTATTTCCTCTGCAGCACCAGGCAATTCTTCACTGTATTACCCTTTTAAGGGGTTTCAGTCATTTTTGTTTTTCCCTTCATGCAAAAAAGGTTCAAAAGCACGAGAGGAGGCTGATGCCATTTCAGAGACTCCCTGCTGTCCTTTAAAACATTTTAAACTCTCTCAAAGAATCCAAAGAAAACTTTTGCTCTCCAAGAAGCAGAACTGGCATGTCACCCTATTGTGATCCTCTGTTTTGGTGTCCTGATGATCAGAATTAACAATTGGTTTTTCCAATTTTGCTTTTGAGTGGTTTTCTCTCCTTTATTTCTTCACATCCCTATTTCTTTTTTAAGTAGTATTACCAATCTCTGACAGTACTGCAGGTTTCTGTTTTCTGTTTTTCAGATTAGTATCCCTGCTCCAAACTAAATGACTCAGCCACATTGGCTTTGAAGTCTCCAAAGAGCTTTTCTAATTGTCTGTGCTCCCTTCGAGTGAACTCTACTATCTCAACATGTTGGCCAATTTTCTTCTCTAGTTCTTCTTCAGAATAAACACTGACACTACTCTATTTCTTAATATATTCCTCTTTTTATCTAATTTGGTCTGCCTACACTTTAATCTAACTGTACGTATTGCTTAATTCCCTGTGGTACTTGAAATTCGGACTGTTATTAAATTGTGGTCAGTAGTACTCTGCTAAACAGTCACTTCATTTCACCATAATACTTATGCAAAATTAACTATAAAGCACTATCCCTGCTAGTTACAAAATGAGCCAGTCCTTCCATTTCTGAATTGCTTTAGTGCAGTATTCAACATTAAATGAAAATCCTACTAAATATTGTTCTCCCTAGCCTAATAGCTAAGCCACCTTCTCCAGCATTTCGAGGAACATTTCATTATTCTTATTCAGATGTCAGTACATTTTTCCTATAAATATACTTTTCTTCTAGTTCTTCAGTGGCCTGCTGCACTGACTCAACACTTCAACCATTTAAATTATTTTTGTGCATCCACCATAACTGATGGCTGTTTGCCATAATGCACCGTGTCTTTATTTTCAGATATTATGAAAACATTCATTGATATTATTATTACTTACTATTAATACCACATGGTCAAACTGTAATTCACTTTAATCCATTATCTCACCAAGTTGATTATCTTTGTAATAGGTAAATCTCCTTTAGTGATAACAAGCATATTTTCACGACCATATTAACCATTGCTGGATTTACTAAATGGATTTATGGGAGCGTCTCCCCTCCTCCCCATATCAGGACCACACAAATAAACTTGCTCATGGCATGCTAGAACAGCTGTACAATTCCTCCCATTTGAAGCAATGCTGCAGCTGGCCCTGACATTAACTATATTTTTATAGACACTATCCAGTAGTGCATTTTCCCTACTTCCATTTCCAGAGAGCCAGGTTATCTTCACAGCTCCATTTCGTCCCTTCACCTTTATCGCAGGGCTTTATAGTTCCACATCAGTATTTTATATCTCTCAATGCCTCTAGAGAGAGGGAGAGCAGCACCTCACACAGCTCTCAGTTATCTGTGGGTGGAGTAGCTGTGAAGTGCTTTAATCCACCACAGGTGCACAGATATCTTTACTAGCTCCACGACTACACATCCACAAGCTGGAAGCACGGAGAGTATGGGTGGAAAAACATGTTAGCAGGCTCATCACCAGCTAACATAGGACCAGTGTGGTTTTTGAGCTTTGGCAGAGAGCTCTTTGCCCTTTCAACTTGCAAGAGTCTGTGATACAGGGACATCCAGTGGACACGCAACTTGATGGTCAGGGTCGGTCCCAAAGACAACCCTCATTCAACCAGAGCTTTGTGAGCTGCCCTTCCTTAATCAACCACATCATCCAAAGACACCAAATGTTGAGTTTTTTATTCCTTGAATGAAACCCTTATAACACCACTGCTTCCAGGGCTGCTCAGACTGCAGGGAGAGGAATCGAGGAAGGGCCAGAACTCACCAGTGGGGAAATGGTGGGACTGCCCTTAGCCCAATCCCTGGACTGTGTAGCCTGACTGAAAAGGTGTACATGCTAAGAAGCCAGTAGGAATTGGAGGCAACATTTTACCAGGCATTCACCAGGAGGCAACATTTTACCAGACAACTTCCAGGAATCGGACAGGGGGTTTTTATAGTGCAGATGGCTGAAGATATAGGACGGCAGGGTCCACACAGTCATAGCAGAGGTACCCTGTGACACTATGTCACTTCCTCCTAGCCAGGTTTCCAGTTAATGAGTTGACTATGGGGTTCGTTCATTCTCCTCAAAATAAATGAAATACCGAAGGTCGCTGGTCATAAGTTCCTACCAACTTACACCAACTTACTTCCCTCAAGAGCATCACTGAATTGTTTTAGATGTGAGTCCATGTCCATTGCAATTGGGGTGGATCCTCCAGTGACGCAGAGGGCTTTGGAGCAGGAACAGCTGGACCACTTGTTTACATTCTGAAGTTTATTTACATGAAATTCTTATTTATAAAAAATGTTAATAAATGAGTTCAGTGAACCCATTTCATTGTAATTCAAAGTATAGCAGACTGTAGAGTATTAAAAATTGCTTTGTCCTAGAAAACCAGCCTTTTGATAATAAACATCAGAGCACCAGATACTGCAGGATGGCCCAACCCAAATAATGAATTAGGGCCCTAATAACATAAGCTTTCCTTAAAAAAATGGTCTTGGGATTTTTCAGATTAATAAATCCTGAATTGCTAGAAAATGCAAAAGCTATAAATTGTCTTAAAGAAAGACCCACACCCAGACTTGAAATTTTCATGTGACTTCCTAATTCCAGGAAAGGGAGCTTAAACAAAAATATTATGAGATGCTCTAAAACTGTGAAAATCATCAATGATCCAACAAGGATCTTAGTCTTTATCATAAGAAAGCACCAGAAATACTTTCAGCATGAACTGTGAGGCCACCACAGAGATCAGAAAAAGCCACCTAGATCTTTCAAAATCACATCAATATCATAAAGAGTCACATAATGCTGCATTTATTGATTCACATTTAGATTTTGGTCAATATAATAAAAAAACCCCAACTTCATCCAACCAAAAACCAAACAGGGTAAAGAAGAACTTACCTGGATCACTAAGAAATTCCTCTGAGGTGTTCCACGTTCTACCATCCAAATACAACGTGCCATTGGTGGAGTTAAACTTGGTGTAGTCCCTGACACACTTGTGTCGCAAGTTGCCCATGAAGAGCTGGAGGCCTATGAGGGCAAAGACACTCAAGCAGAAAACGGTCAGGATCATCACATCAGCAAGTTTCTTAACAGACTGGATAAGTGCCCCTACAATGGTCTTCAGTCCTAGGGAGATAAAAGCCAAGAGTTTATAGACTGAGAGGCTGAAACACATCTGCAGAGAGCTACTTTTCATGATTAAAATCTCCATGGAAGGGAAAATTGGAAGGGTTTCTACTACGTGTTTGTAACTAGACGGTAGAAACAAGACACAAGTCATCACTATGAACGTCTAGTTTGGCCTACTTTCGTCTAGCCAAAAGTCTTGGTATTACTGTTACACAAACACTGATTTAAAAATGGAGGGAAAAAAACTGGATGGAGGAACATTGAGGTACAAAAAAAAGCCATGGATAAAGAAAATACAGAATGTCTTTTATATTTTCATGGAGCTGCAGTAAAGGCTGTAAAACCTAAATCCCATAGAATTTAGAGAACGTGAATTAATTTTAAATCTCTCAGGTGATTCTGATAACTTTATCCCTCACATAAACAGATGAAGAGGTATGGAAATGTTATTTATTCCCTGATTATTTTACATATTTTGGTGCCAAATCCAGCTCGCTGTCCTCATATGGATAATTCCTCTGCCTTCAATTCATTTGCTTAAGACAACAAGAATTTGGGATTAGAAATAAGACAAATAATATGGGCAATCAAATAAACCCAGTGGAAACTATTTGAGTAAAACAACCTGAGGCTCCAACAATACCTGGGCAAAGTTAATAATATGCTGTCAGTGTATATAAATCATCTTATTGCAAACACCAAAGGCTTGGGTCATGCAGACTAGCTTCTCTTGTGCTATTTCACCTCGTAACACTAGCTTCAGTTTATTATTCTATAAATATACAGACATGAATAATTACGCTGTTATCTCAAAAGATATTGCTTGCTTTTGAAGTGTTCCTGGAGATCAGCACTATTTGAGCTGGTCGAATATTACATGAATATGACAAAACCCACTCTTTTGAAAAAAAAAAAGACCCTTCTTCTAAACTTGTGTGCTATAGTTGGATGTTAATATCAGTTGCACAACAGTAGCAATTTTGTTGTTTCTTTCCTATTTATATTTAATTAATACTCGATAAGTAGTAATCAGTGCTTCTGATAATCACTGTCACGAGTATGGCAGCAGGAAGAAAAATTGAGTTAAATGGAAAAAAGAAAATGCAAAGAGGAAACAGGAGGAATTCTCCTGGGCAATACTCAGAAGCACGTTGATTTGCTCACTGAATATGATCATACACATTAAATCTCAGTTCCCTGGAATTCCACCCCAAGAGTTTGGCAGCCACAAAGGTTGAGCTCGTGCTGTATAATTTAAAATAATATGAAAATATACTTGAGGACTCGTGGGAAGGCAAAATGTTTTTTTTGGTCTTGCTTAAAATTCTGTGGTTAAAGTAAGGGGAAGTCATAGTTTCTCAAAGGAGGATATGCTGATGGAATGACCAACAGGTCCAACAGTCCCTGTATCTAGGAGCCTAAAATAGTCTCCTTGCAAGACCTCTTGCATAGGGTATTGCCATTAGGTTAACTTATGGATTTTATTATTGTCTATAAATGGCCATTTAATCAAAAGGGACTGCCCATCAAGTTTGGGTAGCCTCCTTTCTCCCCTTCGTTTGCCTCTTTAAAGCTAGTTGTGGCATGGTAAAGAGGGAGAGGTTAGACAGCTCCCTGCTCTAATAAAAAATAAAGCAAAAAATATTACAGTACAAACATCAGACAAAAGCTGGATTTTCATGCTATCCGTACTCCTCAACAGAAAGGGATTTTACAAATGAGGTCAGTTCTATTCAGGTACCTAGAAAAAGGTCAGCTTTGAACTTTTGAGTCCATCTGTAGATTTGGCTACCTATTTTGGTGCCCAAATAAAAAGCATAGCTCTTCTGATAATCTAGTCTTGGGTGAATTTTATACTTGAAGTGAAAGTAGTTTTAGTTGTAGCCCAATTCTGAAGGACTTCCTGGGGTTTCCCCTTATCCAATGTTAAGACTATAAGACCTTTAAGTCAGCCAGGTTTAAAAAAGCAGTGAGGTGGGGGAAAAGAAATATGGTTTGCAAATGCACTAGAATATTTTTTATTTTCTCTGATATTCTGAAATGGTTTTGGTGATTTTCTTAACTGGCTGTCCTTTGAATGCACTGATGTTTCTTCACTGAAGTTGGTGAAATTTGGGAAGTCCAATGGAAACCGAGTCTTAAGAGAGGGAAAGGAGCCAAACCACAAATTCTTTTACTGCAGTACCTTCTGGGAAATCCCTGCAGCACATTTATTTGCTTGTAATACAAATCAAGCTTGAGGCCTGTATTTGTGTCATCTAAGTACAGTAATTAATCTTACTCACATGGGCAAGGACAATGGAAGTCCTCATGTGAATAGGGATAATATTAGGAAACAAGACCTACAAAATCCTAATCACTAGTAAAGACTATCTCTTTTCAAAATCAGGCCCCAGTATTGTTAATTTCCAGGTAATTTCATGAAACATGTTTTTCTCAGTTTACTTGATGGGGTTTTAAATAGAACAGTAACCCTATACTATTAGTTTTACGAGTTCATTCCTTGCAGGTGTCAAATAATTTCTTTATGAGAGGGCTTTCTGATTTACTTTCCTTTTCTTTTTTTGTTTTAATAGCATACAGGCTTCTGAACAGTTTGAGAATGCTTTAGTAATACAATTGCTGTAATTAAAGACCTTTTAAAAATAACCTGTTCTCTGCCTCGTGGACCTTTGTTAAAACTTTCCAGGAAAACCATTTAGGGAGTGGTATACTTAGTCTAACTGTTTTTTCTCACCTTTTAAAAACAAAATTTGCCCAGAAAATTAAGTAGCATCCAGCAATTTGCTTGGCACAACTCACTGCTAAACAAAGTGTTTACATCACCATTCATTTAAACTTTCTGTGCATCGTAAATGGAAGGGCAGAGGGGAAATAAGGACACCCAGAACCTTTTGCAGGTGCTCTGCATTTCTCTGAATCAATCCCATGTTTTCTAAAAGCAATGCTAGATGTATTCAAATTTAGACCCCTGTTAAATCTTCTAGATAAATAATCCTCCTTTGAAATAGTGCCAATGAGAGCACTGCAATATAGCTTAATAGAAGATATTATTTATGGGGCATTAGAGGCATTTACTTAATTCTTGCAAGTCAAACATGAAACCAGGCAGCATGCAGAAAAAAATGAGGATCTGATCCAAACCTGAGTAACATCTACACCCACTAATGACAATGGGTATATAGATCACTCCCTATGGAGTAATCAATACAGACTTTTCCTGAGTCACTGAATTTTCCACAATTCTAGGCCAAATCCTGCTTACATGACATGAAAAACATCACGAAAATCAGTGGATTGAGAGTTGTATAGGCATCCTGATATCTGCAGAAAGCAAGAAGGATTTGGCCCAAACATTCCTGTTAATGCAGGTAGACATTACCACATTCAGAGGTTAATCAAATAATCAGTTTTCAAATGCAAATCAGAAACCATAGAAAATGCAAGCAACACCAAACAATGAGAAATGGCAAGTCCCCACAACACCATCCATTCCTTCTATGAGATGTGAGAAAGTATTAGCATAATTCAGTATGACATCCATACCAGATGTTGGCAATCACCTACAGAACATCAGACACTTTCATGCAGAGTCTGGAAACGAGTGGGGAGAGAAAGGGAAAACAAAAAAAAGAGTGTGACTTGCACCATGATTGTCCCCACCTAGCCTGCTCCTTCTCCTGAGGATACAGATGTGTCTTGTACATGTCTGCATGAGTCGTGTGCAGATATTATTCTCAGGGAGAGAAAAGTGCACTCTTGATGAACGTATTTTGTCATTAGCCACTGAGACGTGGGGCAGCAAAGAGTTTAATAGCATGTGGGTGAACTTGAATGGTTGTCAGCATTCCTGTAGACCATCTTTGTGTGGAAATGTAAGAGTCAGGCCAGTCTCCAAGGAAAGGACAAATATGTCATGTGTTGTTCACCTCTGGGATAGGTACTTTTTGACTTAAGTGAGCTACCCACCAGAAGGAAGACATTTATCTCTCTGCAGGAGGACTTCACTGAGACTGAAGCAGTGAACGAGGGTCAATCTTCTCCACACAGTCTTAATTCTTGTGCTCTGAGCTCTGTTTTGGCTATCAGTAAAGTACTGGATAACATTCACAGCACTATTTATAGTCTTTAGACTCACACTAACTTAAACGGGAGCTGGATCAGGCCCCAAAGTGCCTTGGCCCAATTTTCTATGAGGTCACCTTTTGCTGGTATCCTGTCATTTTATGTGAGATATCCGTGATGCACACGCCTGTTCCAGAAAGAGCAGTGGAGCTTCTCTGGATACAGGCATCTTACAAAATCCTGATGATGATGCTGATGATGGCCTGCATTTTGCAGGCTTTTGATGGCGAGTCATAGTAGGGTGTACCTCAGAGCTCATAATTACCTCAATTAATTGTTATCAAAAACATTGGTGATTTCCATGCAGGTAAACTATGAGTCAAGACCCTCTATTTTCAGGAGAAGGGTTCCCATTGAGCACACTGGGACTGGGATGCGCTGGTAATGGGAGACAAATGAGTGACTTCACTGGGTTGTTCTGCTCACTGTGGTTCCTATCTAGATTGAAAACGAACAAACCCAGTTGCTATGGCAATGTGCAAGATGCTAATTAATAAATAAAATCACAGAGAGTTAAAGGTTTAATGCTCCCATAGAGAAAATGTTAATTCTAAGCACCTAAACATAAGGAATATACGAAGAAATTAAAAACTTTTTTCTTTTAGTAAGTCTGGGTAAATGGATACTCAGCCACTGTACAAAGCTTGTTTTCTCTCAATATCATGGGGAACTGGAAAACAGAAAGAAATGGGTGTGTTTAGAGCAGAAAAGGGAAAATTGAGGGGATCCATGGAGGTCCTCCAGCATGTTAAGGGCTGCCACACAGGGCAAGGCACTGACCTGATGTCCTACACAGTGTCTGTAGGGTAAAAAATGATGAACTGATAATGCACCAAGAGAGAGTGAGGCTGGATAGGGGTCTGGGATCAGAGACAGGACCTGCAGGTGATCCATGGCCCTGGGGAGCAGGAGATCCTGGGATGGTGGTAAGCAAACCGAGCCCCAGATCTCCAGTGAGTGGGAAGCACATGGCTTGCTGGTCAATGCTAATACTTGGTTTGTTGAACCTGGACCTGAACCTGTCCTTCCAGGGTAAATCTTTTAATGGTGAAAGCAATAAGGTGCTGGAACAGACTTCTCAGGAGTATCATGAAATCTCCACCTTTGAAGGACTGTCAGAACAAGTCAGGTAACAAATATCAGGCTAAGTGTGAGCTATCCTAAGTGCAGCCTTAGGCCTTAGGGGAATGGACTCTGAGAGTTTGGGAGATCCTCTTGAGTCCTGTGGGTCTGTGTCCCCTAAATGTCCCTGTGCCAGCCTGTGCACTCAGAGGGAGGCATCAAAGGTAGGTGAGATTTTTAAAAGCAGTAAGCTTTACTGACTCCCTCTGGAGTCAATAGTGAAACTCATTGATTTCAAGTGAAGCTGAATGCCTTTGAAAACCACCCTCTAAGTGCTTTGTTGGACAGAAGCCTTACACCACGGAGGACTTGGCCCGTTAGTTTCGGTAAGTAATTTCACTGAGCATACTGAGTTCAACTATGTTTGTGCAAATGTAACTACCTGATGGAAAAGTGTGATCAATTTTATTGAGGAAAAGCTTAGATATTTGCAAAGGAGAGTACGTCTCAGCTTTCTTCACCTAAGATGTAAAAAAGGAAACAAAAATAATAACCTTCTTCTGCTCTCTCCAGCAGTTGAACACAAAAATCTCATGGAATATATTAGTGTTCATCATCTTTTCATTTTTAAATCTACAGTGGAAAAATATTTCACCTCAGTATAAGCCTATGTTATCATTAAACACTCAAACTGATCTCCAAATAAACCACAGCATCATGCCCAATATTTCTTTTAAAATAAATGTGTCTAAATGAAAAATGAATCGACTCCTCTGAAGTTATCTGCTAACATTAAAAAGAAACCTTAGCTATGTTTTACAGACAGGTAGGTGTTCTATGGCAATTAGTAGCTCCCCTCATCTGTAATTTAAACATACTCAGGGCACAGGTAATCTTGACAATAAAATCTAAGGCCAGATATTCCAATAGCATATCTCTGTGCAGTTATGTCAGCAAATAATTTAGTAACCAGTACCTAAAAAATGCAGTTATCAAAAAACTAATCAAATAGTCAGAAAGAAAAAAATAGAGTGTGAGTTATTACGTATTACACTAATAAATAATACTCCTCATCTTTCTTTTTTTCTATTAACCAGCAAATGGAACAACGTGGTATTTAATATCACTGAAGGGCTTTAGTGTATTTGTAAAGAAAGTTTTTCTGAATCTCATACTCCTTTTGTTTCCCACTAAAAAAACAACCAAAATTTATCATTTGATGTAAAACAAGCTTCAACTCCAACTCTGATATAGGAAAGCAGAAAATTACTATATATATAACTCAGCAAAATTGACAGGCTCTGCTCTGAACAACCTCAAGCTTGAGACAAGATGGAAAATGAAAGGTGTCCCCTGGAGACGGCTGTCCCTCCAAGTTAGTCTCCAAATTGCTAGCAAAGGAAGCTAGAAAACTCCGGTTATATTTCTGATTAGCCACGACTGTTCCACACGATCTGTAAAACTGGGCTCAACTTTTTGTTTCCCAAAGAAAAAAAACCCAACATTTCTCAATGGAAATAAAATTGGAGGAAACCCTCTCTGCTAATAAAGTATTCTTTTCATAATTGGAGACAAAAATTAAAATAGGAACTGATTTCAAGGAATACAAGATCTAATTAATCTTAAAGTATACTTTAAAAGCTATATTCTGGCATACACTTTCAATAAAAAGTACCTTGCTCTTACAGTAATTTCACTGATTTTCATTACTTTAATGTTCAAATGAGGGAGTAAGCCCTAGACCCATATTTATATTTTTTTAACACCTTAATTCTAGATATCCATTTCTAGTTTATACTCCTGTGTATAATCACTATGGTGCTGGTGATTAGCAGTAATACATGTCCCTATAAATTTACACCACAGAATATGTTTAGATTTATATGGTAATGTAGATTTGCATAATATAGTGGGTGGAAAAGCCTTTCTAACCTTAAAGAGCTGTGCTTGAGAATCTGAGCAGTTCACTTGATGTTTTCAATATTCTTGACATGTAATTGCCAACATCTGTTCAGGATTATCACCAATAGGATCTACCATGCATGGGTTTTGCTATCTTCTCTACCTTGTCATGCAGGTTGGAGATGTTAAACACTGAGGCTGAATGAGACCTGTCCATAGATAATGCTTGGTAAAAAAGTATGTCCTATGGTTAGTCCTCAGTGGACTCATCTCTGCATAAATTACTTAATAGTAAATATTGTAAGAAATAGTAATAGATTAGATAAAAGCTATGGAAAAAAAAGCTTCTTTCACTATCAGATATGTGGTGAAACACTGATTTTTTTTTCATGGGGGGGGAATCATATCCTTGAATACGTGAGAAAGTGAAAGTTGACAAAATGCTGAACCTTCTGAAATCAATGATGAAATGTTTTTTGATCTCTTCAGCATCCAAGATTTAAACAGTGTTTCTACCAATGCAAATGGATAAACACCATGACAAATTCAGCTATCTATGCCTGTAGTCTTGAAAACTCAGCGCATAACACAGGTTTAGATTCCTCTGTTGATGCACTCTTAATATGCATTTTGAGGTCATTAACCTTACATTTTTAAAAATCGATATCTGAAGATATTAAAAGAGTTTCATTGCCATTTTCATATGGTTCATGAATGAGTACTTTATGTATGTGTTTCACAAGCCACTGCATGTCACTGTTCTTACAACAGCACTCTTCCTAGTGAGGTCTGTAATTTTGGAGGCACTCTAATTCCTTCTGCCTACAAAAACAGTACTGGAAAAACATAAGAAAAATGTATTCTATTGACAGGTCACATTCCCTACATTCCTCCATTTCCTGATCAGTATCTATGGGTAAGTCATTTGTAATTACTGTGTTTACTACTGGAAATGGCATGTAGGCTTTAACTGCAGCCGGAGTGTTTAACCTGATTTTCACCTGAAATGACTGAGATTGTTTTCAGCGCCCGCAGTACTCTGAACGTTCGTAAGGCTGAGACATTGCCCAGGTCCACAAATTCAGTTATGTATCTGTAACAAGGGAAAGTCACACACAGACAATGACAAAACACCAGCCAAAAAAAAACAACAGTCAAAGGGACAAAGAGAGACAGAGAAAGAATCACTTGTAGCTGAGAGCCAAAACATAAGGATCAGGGCTTCTTACCTGGGATTACTGAAATAGTTTTTAAAGCTCTCAATACCCTGAAAGTCCGAAGAGGTGAAACACTGCCTACATTCACAAATTCTCCTACATACCTGTAGAATTAAGTCACAGTTATTTGGAATTATACAATAGAGTATGAGACTTGTCTGAATGAAGAATGCATTCATACATAGCAGGAGCAAATGCAGCCGAATGAGAGGTGCATCCACTTTTCAGGCTGTTCTTTGATGCCATTTGTCCCGGGTTTTTCATAGTACACATTTTTTCAAATGTTTCTTGAACTATTAAACTTATCTAACAGGCATCAATTCTTTAAAACTACTGGGTGAACTTTGTTATCGTGCGGTTCAGCAATAAATACTTTAAAGATTTTACCATCACATAGTTTAACAAAAAGTTCTTTACATTATAGGAAACATTAAGAGCTATTTTGTTGCTCTTAAAAAAAAAAATAAAAGCTTCAAATACCCAAGCAATTTTCACATAATAGCTTCTGCAAACTACATATAGGACAACATCGGAAAATATCAGTGCAAATGTTTCTACTGGGTTATTTATTCTAAGATGCTGTACTTTGTGGAAAAGCAGATGATGGTTTCAAGAGATGCTTAAAATTTTATTTTGTTTAGTACATCAAATCCATGCCCTTTGGCTGCAGGAAGATGGATTTTGAATGAATATAATTGCAATTCTACTAAAAACTATTTATGATTAAAATACCAATGCCAGCTCTTCATTGCCATGCCTATTTTGGTCATCATGGAGATCCATGCCATATCTGAGATAAATGCTCCCAGGAGGGTCAGCTACGGAATGAGTTTGATTTTATCAGTGTTGTACAAAGATATTTGCTCCAAATCAGTATACAGTAAAAGCACAGTCATCACTACATCTTCTGAACAAAAGAACTCAAGCCCTTTACGTCCATTATTAAATTTCATTTACATATTCTACTTCTTTGAGGAATTTGTTTGCACATGTTACGTAAAAAAAACTCTCCCAGTTATTTTACAAAGCCTGCTTAAGTGGGCTTTGTGCAAAGGCCTCTGGGGAGGACAGAGCATCCTCTCCATATCTACTAATCCAGATTATAACCTGAAAGAGCAATATTGTTTTTCCTCTTACTAGGGGAGACTGGGCAAAGATTTACCTGTTTGGTAATTCCTACCCAGGCTTACCCAGTGCTTCTCTCCCTAACTCTACTGCAGCATGCAATGGTGGAAAAAATAATTTTGGGAGAAGCAATAGCATGGGAATATGGCTTTGCTGACCAGAGATTGGTAAAAACTTATTATTAATGCATGAACGAGCATATGAAACAAATACTACTGCTGCTTGTTCACAGTAGTTAATTAAGATTTATTGTGGCCATTTCTTGAATGCAATTGCAGTTTCTCTGTATCAGGGAGCAAGAAGCAATTAGAATTCCCATTCCAAATTTTCCTGTTAGCCAGGGAATTGCTTATTGACTTTAAAGTTTTGACAGGGAACTTTTCGAGCCAGAGTTACAGCTGCCTCTTCTTTGCCTGCTCTGGAAAGTACTTGATTTTCTGGGAAAGGGTGATGTAAGCAGGAACAGTTTCATAATTTCACCTGAACCCACCCATGGCCGCACAGAGGGTCCGGAGCCATGGCTGTGTCTGTTACACAGGGTGGGAGAAAAGCCCTGGAGAGCTGTGGCACCTCTTACTCTATAGTATGCTATTTAAAACTACTCTCTGTGACCCAATCTGTGCTTTTTCTGCCCAAAAGAGGAGGCAAGAAGTTATCTTGCAATAACTATGAAGCAAGTGATGGCCATCCCACTATAATGCCCACCACTGAAAGAAGAAGATTTTCTGTTAACTCAAAACCCTTGATCCATCTAGAACCCTCCTGCCATCTTTGTGTTCAGACACAGAAACAACTCCAGCATCACACTAGCAAAGAAAACACCAGAGTTACCTGTAATCAGTCTTACTTAAAATTACTTGCAAATTTGATTTATATGAAGGATAAATCATATCAGAATAGAGTCCCTTATCCAACACTCTGTACTATCAGCTGCTTGCATACTTGGGAAGGAAGTTCCATTGTAAATATGAAGATCATATTGCAGTCAGTTTTAACTCTCTCATTGCTGCCTATGGGCTCAAGGAAGCAGTTTCCTATTTCTTTTCTATTCCAGAATTCCAATTATTTTTTTTTTTCTTTTTTTCTATAACACAATTTAAAGCAAGAAACAATAGAAACGGATGTTAATTCTGCAGAGCGCAGCCATTGCTGCAATCTGGTGCTGAGAAACAACTTCCCGCAGTTGCAGGCCCTCCCTGTTTCACGGATCTTCTAACTAAGAGATGAAATATCACTCAGAAAGAAAATTGATATGTAGTTAGAAAAGAAAGCACTACCTGCAGGGAGTGAATCACCTCTGGACAACTGTCCACCTCAAGATCTGTGAAAACTTTCACATCTTTCCAGATCCCTAAGCCCCAAACACCCAGAGATAATGTGGACAGACTTTAATGGATATCCAGACCTTGTCCCACACTGACTGTTCAGACTCAAAATTCAGTGACAGCAAATGACATGCTCCCAGAGGAGTTCTGCAGAGCTGGGGGTGATGCCTCAACCTCTGCTCGAGCTGAGATCGGTGGAGCAGACGCATTGCCAAGGCCGCAAGCTGTGGCTCATCTTGTCCTTTCCCTTTCTGCCTCACTGTCAAAACCCTCGTTCCTTGCAAAATAGAAAGAACCCACACACAGAAAATCTCCGTGATGTCCTGAACTCAGAGACCTGCAAATAAACTCACATCCCAACTCACAGATGAATTATCACACCCTGCTTTTACCAGCTGTCTGATGGACAGGAGAGCAGGCTGGCAACACTTTTTGTTGTTCTCTCCTGCCTCTAAATGTTGCAGGAGATGGGCACTTAGCACTGCTTGAGGAAAAGTTTAGCTGAGAAAAGTACCTAATGTATGCTGACCCCCAGAAGCTCCTCCCCATCTGCATTGCAGTTTTTTTTTTTTTTCAAAAAGCTTATCACGATGGCCAGATATCAGTTCAGCCAAATCCATAGGAATGTAGTAATAGATCCCAGGATCTGGCCTATGGCTGGCTTCGATCCAAAGGCTGCTAAAATAAATGGGGGTCTTCCTGATGTGATCCACAGAAATTTTAAACATCTTCATGCTGTTCCTCTGCCCCCCATCTGCATTGCAGTTTTTTTTTTTTTTCAAAAAGCTTATCACGATGGCCAGATATCAGTTCAGCCAAATCCATAGGAATGTAGTAATAGATCCCAGGATCTGGCCTATGGCTGGCTTCGATCCAAAGGCTGCTAAAATAAATGGGGGTCTTCCTGATGTGATCCACAGAAATTTTAAACATCTTCATGCTGTTCCTCTGCCAAGAATATTGGTTCTGATTCCTGCAGCCTACCAGAGTTTTGCTACCAAATTCAGTGGCCCTCACTGGTGTTTGAACTAGTTTGGTTGAACGTTTTTGACCAATTTTGCTTCCATTCAAATTTTGTGGGCCCAGGAGTTCAGCTCAAACTTTAATGCTGAGACTAAGGCTGTCACACCTAAGGCTATAAATTATGAGGTCTAAAAAGAACAGCAAGAACTAAACTAAACCCAGAAGATAATATAGCTATCATCAAGCAGAAAACAGAGATCAGATTAAATCCTTCTATTATTAGGAAATGGGGCCTTTCAGGGTGTCTCTACTAGCTTCCCCTTCATGCTCTCTCCACATGCCTTTCTCTCTTCTTTGACTATGAAGAAAATCTGGATTTCTAGCTCAGCTGGAGATACCAACAGTTTCAGGAATCTGCCTTTGGCCAGAGCTTGGGCTGACCCCGTGTCCGCTGCGAGCGTTGGCTGACTGCTCCCCTACCCCTGTGTATTTTTAGCTGTCTAGATGCCACAAATCCATCACCTCCTTCAAAGCACCAGAACCCCACGTGTCCTGAGTGAACTCTAATAATCTAGGTAGAAGTATACAGCTGAGGGGGAATATCATGTTGGGGGCCAAATTTCTATTCCCAAGATATATACCAAGTTTCAGAGACCTTTAAATTAATTCCGTATAATAGGAAATTAATAATTGCTTTCAGGATTAATAGGGTTTGTGAAACAAAGAACATGAAAAATAGTTTTGGTGGTGTAAGGGATGAATAGTTTATAAATAGGGATTTAAATACCTGGGTCACACTTCTAACACTTTCTATTCAGGGGCCTGAAGCTTCCCAAAACTACCTTAGGCAAATATTATTACACATATTTTACAAACAGTTCTCTGTGGAGCACAGAGCGAGTAAATAATTTCTCCAAAATAGTCTAATGAATTGAGACAACATAATTGAGAATTCCTCAGACTTTTTCCTCTGAAACCACTAAGGAAAATGAACTCCATCCTAATATACTTCAGCATTTTCTCATTTTCAGTAAAATTTGAGTGAAAAAAGAGAATAGTCAGACAACATTTTCAAAAGTTCTGTTGCATACTGCTGTCTTGGAAAATATAAAGGAGTGCTACTTACGCCATAACAATAACACTGAAATCCAGCCAGTTCCATGGATCTCGAAGGAAGGTGAATTCTGTCATGCAAAATCCTCTTGCCAAGATTTTTATCAATGACTCAAAAGTGTAAATGCCAGTGAAAGTGTACCTGGAGAATAAAGTGGCCAAGATAAGGAAGAGCATTAGCAAGCAGCAGATGGCAGGAATGACAGAGGCACACTCAACCCAAATCTATTCGCATGGGACACTCCTGACCATCACACTGGGGTTGCTCATGAAAATCATGGATGCTGCACTTTGTTGCATATGATCAGCTTCACGTGTGTACCAAGGAACATGTAAGAAATGAGAAAGGACTCAATACAGCCCCAGGATGAAGATAATTTTCACTACAGGGTGTACCTTGATGAATCCTCACTCATTGGGTGAAGCATGAATAATACTATGCCACTAAGCTGTGCTATGGGACTTTTTAAGCTCTACCTGCAATTGCCAGTGAAAGAGGAATGGATTTTGCCACATTCATTGTTGCTTCTCTTATTTGAAGGTGGTTGTTCCATTCATACCTCTCATCTCTTCCAGCCCAGGACACTTTGAAGGAGAGCAGGTCAAAAAAGTGTCACCACTTGGTTTTATTTACTAAAAGGGGTATTTTTCCTGCAACTTCCTTTGAATTTCACTATCCATGGCAAATCACAGCAGCCCTCAGAATTAAACAACAGAATTCCCTCACTGAAAAAGAGGGAAACAACTCCCACCTGAATACTATATGTAGTAATTTTGACCTGCTTGACAGTAAAAGAGACACAAGGGTGTTTTTTCCCCTTAGCAAGATGTTTATTTTCAACAGCCTCTTGACTGTGATGATCTTTGTTAGAACATACATCTTACCTTTTGTAATAAAGATGATACTTGTGATAAAATTTAGCTAATTCTCTGTGGAGGACAGCAATGTATCTGACTTATTCAGATCTGTATTCACTCAAGGCTCTACCTACTATCAAAGTCATACTTCAGAGCATGCAACACCTCTTTTTAAATATTTCTACCTGAGACATCTAGCCCAATGGGACTAGGTATTCTAGGCCATATCATAATAAAAATAATAGATGTTTAGTATCCACCACTGTCATTCCCTACCCCTTTTCTCCAAATGAAGGCACAGATGATACCAAAGCCTATTAAAAAAAAACCCCAACAACAAACACCTAAAATCCCATAAACCACAAATCTCTAACTCATGATGTTGGGGACTGCCACTGGAAAGGCTAGCTTGAGTTTTCTATTCAGTTCCTAAACATCAACAGCTATAATGGTGCAATCACACAAAAGAATTATAACAGCTGGGGTTCCTGTTTGGTAAAAAAAAATAATATATATATATGTAAGCAATTAAAGGCAGTAATGTATGGAAGAACTTCACTGTGCATAACAAGAAAATGGTTTCTCTTAGCTGTGTTCCTCTGTCTGTAACTGGACACACAAAAGGGCAGTGGCAAATCTCACGCCCTTCTGCCGTCATGTCACACAGTAGAGCTAGTTACACACATTGTAAAACCTCAGTATGCTCCTTTTTAAAATGGAGATTAGCAGGACAGTTTTAGTGCAGCAGTTGGCACTAAACATTTCTCGCATCTCCTCTTTGACCATACACCTAAGCATCATCTTGTATCTGACTTTTTATGTCTCATATTTAATTTTGCTCTGATATTTCAAATATAGGTCACCCACGTGACAATCTCTTTAAGCATATGTATTCAGTAATACATGCAGAAAACACATGCAAAGAACTAAAAAAAATACTTAACGGTACATAAGCTCATTAAAATGATAAACCACTTGTATTTATTCAACATGTCAGATGGTTTAATTGATTGTATAATCATCATCTAATTCTAAATGGATTGGGCAAAGTCCTCCAGCAACTGAACAGCTTCTTTAACAACAGAAGTTGGGATTTAAAAAAAAAAATTTCATGGTGGTAAATTGAATTGATTTCTTTTTTCAAAATGGTAAGGCAAATGTTTTAAAGGAAGATCTAGGACAAATATTTGCAGAAGGTTACTCTTGTATCCCCTGTGAGTCTCTGAAACAACAGAACAAAATGGATTAAATGTACCTTTTCCAAATCAAATAATAATCAATTTGAATTAAAGTTCATTGGGTTATTTTGCTCCTCAAAAGTACTTGCCTTTGATTTCATTCTATGTATTTGGGGAGGAATAGCTGAGAGGTATGAGGGGAAGCGAGAGAAGAGGAAACATAGAAAGGAAAGGATTTACTCCTTGCTGCATGAGTCTATTTGTACTTCTGCTCTACATATCTTGCATGCCCTGCTTGATGCACTGATAACTTCATCTACATTTTCCTGCCTACAGAAGACACAACAAGCACTTTGAAATTTTTCTCCAGAATGCTCAAATTCTTGGCTGTAGACCCACTGACCAAGTTCTGACTCATATGGATGAGATGTCCATGTTTCATCTGAATACATCATGGCTATGGTACTGTGTGACAGTTTTCAATAAGAAAAGGACAACATTAGGAGAAAAAACAGAAAGTCACAGACATACTTGAGTATAATACACTATACAGAAATACATGAAACATCCTGGGATTAGGATGTTATTGTGATCAGATGAAATATTTGGTTCAGTGCTATCTATAATTAGTAATTTATGGCCTAGAAGATGTGCTCTGCATGATTTTATGAAACCTAAAATAAGGGCATTTTACTGTCTTTCCTTCCAGCCCTGAGTAGACCAACCACCAGGCTACGGAGCAGCAGATGGCTGTGTTTATCATATGTCAGTCAAAAATAAAAAGTGTGTTCTGATTGGTTCAATGAGCCAAAATAATTGTTTAATGCACTGTAGGTTGATTAGCTTGTGCATCTGGTATCTGTTTCTCACTGGAATATTTTAAAGCAACTTAAAGAAATGAAATAGGCTTTCCAAAGCCCGCTAGTCTCTTTTAAAATTAATTTAAAAAAAAATAAATACCAAAAACCCCTTCAAATGGTATCTTTCCTATTTTTTTTCTGAAGGTTTGACAGACTAAAAAGACAGGAATCCACATAAAAGTGATCCCAGACAATTTTATGCTTGCTCATGAAGTAGACCTGCCAATGATTAGAAGGGAACACTTCTCATGATGTGCTCAGTCTAAAAGAAACCTCTGCTTCCAATAAGATTCAGTGTAAGGATAGAACTAAGTATGTCCAGGAACTATTGTCTGAAGTAATTCAACTTAAACTCCATCAGCCTATTCTAATATGTCCAACCAGCAAATCTCTCTCATGGGAACTGTGAAAGGCAGGCCAGTTTCAAATGGAGTTCTCTTCATACGTGATCTGATAGAACCATAGAACGGTTCAGGTTAGAAGGGACCTTAAAGATCATTGAGTTCCAACCCTGGCAGTAGCGTAGCAAGTGCATTTTGTAATATGTATGATCTTGGTAGTCTAAAACTTCTTAGTTGACCTATTAAGGGAGTTTTTATGAGTAACAAACAGCTGGCAAAATGTTTTGTCAGGACAGATACTATGGTCAATATTACTGGAGAGAAATTAGTCAACAGCAAATAAGATGAAAAGACGACTGTAATAAATGGAACAGGAAGGATGAGATAAGGACAGAGCAGCTGTAAACCAGCAAGGATACTTACTCAACATATTTATTCCACGACGGAGTCTCTGATTGTGCCATGAACACACAATTAGTTAAAATAGTGCACATAATAAACATACTGAACAATGTAAATAAGCGAATTAAGGAAAACATTGCATATGTTACAAGGCTTCATAAATTTTTTGTCATTTAACACAAGATGTGACAGTTCACTTGTAATTTGCCAGACTGTAGACATTTATTTGCAAGTGCATAAAGAAACAAATAATTACATAAACAGAAAAAAAAAAAAAGAAGGAATATTCCCTGGTATTTTTTTCGTTGCCTATATCTTTTACACGTTCTTTATAGAATAAACAAATGTACTGAGTCTGCACTTCTGAAAATACAATACCCTAAATTTACAGCTGTGGTCGGTCAGATGACAATGTGCATAGGTGCACAACTTTGTACAAAAAGAGGGATTAATCTGATTTAAGTATCTACAGAAAAACCTGTGTCTGCAAATTCCCATTTTATTTTGCACCCTGAAACATTTCTTGGCGGTAGAGCAAGTTATAAATCTGGATTTTCTGATCTCTCTAATGGGCTTGAGGCTTCAGTTTCAGTATAAAGTTTCACCAAAAGTTAACATGAGTTTCAGAGCAATAATTTTAAGACTTGGTGTGCTAACCTGGTTGGCAAATACACAGTCTTGGTCTGCAAAGCTGACTGCCTCAGCTGAGGCACCAGTTTCCCTAATTGGAGGCTAAAATGAACCTCCCAAGTGTATAGTCCATGTACTTAGCTGCTAAGCTGAGGCCATAAATACGAAAAGGAGCACCCTAAATCGATTTCCCGAAATTGAAAATATAGTTCGCTGAACTCCTCTCCTAAAAGCATGTACCACGTTCTGTAAAAAAAAATTATAAAACATGATGGGATACTCCTGCATAAATAATAGGTTCCAAGTTTAACTAATGAGTTTAAGTGGAGAGAAGATAAGCCAAAGAAAAACAGCCTACAACTCAGTCAATAGGTTGGGACCTTTCTCAAAGCAGAACAGTAGCTTCCAAATGTAAATTTCTTTTGTCTTCTTTAGGAAAAAAAAAAAAAAAAAAAAGAAGGCTTTTTGTTTCACCCCTTTACTGATCCCATTGGTGGTATTTTTTGTTTAAGAAAAGCAATCAAAGAATATTATTTCAAAGGTATGTCCTGAAATGTTTGCATGAAAGTTGTCCTTTTGCAGAGCCAAAATCTCTGCCGAGTACAAACTGGAACATTTCCCGGTGGGCAACATAAGCAACAAGGAGGTTAAATTGGTAGTAACCAACCCTCATATTCCCCAGTGCCCTCACAGAAAGCAGTAATTGAACTCAAAGGGACTGCTCGTCTCACAAACATTTTCCACTTCCAAGCCACCACCTCCTGCTGAAGGGCTGGGAAGGATAGCTGATATCCAGCCACGTTTTCTCAAGTCAGCCTGAGATAGGTTTCCATAAGTTGTGTCCATCTGGTTAACACAATTGGGTTGTAAGCTGCAGCTAGTCTAGAAAACACTGGCTTACTTTTTCAACTGCAGTGAAATGCTGTGAAAACAACAATAATAAAACAGAGTGGTACCTCCAGGCCATGCCAAACAAATACTATGCTTCAATTCCAAGCAAAGAAATTCCACTATAACCACCCTTTTTAGGATCACTGGTCTGATTTATAGATATCCTTGTTTCCTTGTGATATAAGCTGACTCTAACAGCTTTCCCAGATGCTCACTTACAGGCAGGTGTCATCACCTTCTTATTGAAACACCAAAGAGAATATACAGGAGAGCACAGGCTGAAAATATAAAGGGTCAGCTTTGGGACATCAAATGCACTATGAATTCAAACTGACTTTCATGACCAAGCTGAAAACTACAGAGAACATAAAAGAAAGCAACATTTCAGCTGGTTATGCACCAGAGTCAGAGATCTGTGTTAAAAGAGAGAGAAAACAGAAATTCCTACAGAATGAAAATTCACATCCCTACCTGAACCTAGTGCAATTATTTGCATTAAAAAAAGTCAGTGATGATGATCTACTCAGAAAGAACAAAGGACTTGAAAATGAGACAATCTATATCAGCACCACTATCTGTTATCTATCTTGGAATTCCTATTAATTCCAATTTTTGAAAGCCTACTGCTCCATGAGTTGACATGGCTAACAAACCCAGAAGTATGGGTTGGACTCTGTTATGGACCACAAACCAAATATACTAAGCTGCTCATCAGGATCCTTTCTGTAATATATTAAAGCTGTTACATCCAATTTGAAGTTATAGAATAGGCTTTGAGCAAACTGATTCCGAAAGTTATAAATTTTATCTTCTAGCACAAAGATATTGAGTCAAACACAGCATACTTCTATTCTAGACTTCATTATGATGGATAATTGTTAATTAGCAGACTGAATACTAGAGGCTCTTTAAGTGATCATTGCCAAATTACATATAATATGTGCAAGCAAAGGTTAGGCCCAATCAATAGTACTTATAATTGGTGCTTCACAAGGTGTCATTTTCTCTTACAGAGGGAAGTGTGTAAAACAGGTAGGAAAAAAGTTGCAAGCAGAAAATATGAAAAAGATTGGAAATTCTTTAAGGCTTTTATTTTTCTTTTTCTTTTTTTTTTTTTTTTTTTTTAAATGTGTCAGAGTCCATAATTCTAGCATCAAGGAAGGTAACTTTGGCCAAACCTCCTTTCTGGATCAGTGACAAACATGTATAACACCTAGAAAAACTAGGAAAAGCAATTGCTATGGATTTTATACAGAACAGCAAACTGCTTGGAGAAACTAAGGACATCACAGAATAGTCCTTGGCTTGCAGGCAAGAAGAACTAAGAGGAATCTTTTAAGCATAAGGCATCAATGAAATGTTAGCAGTGGACTAATGTTATTAATCACTGGAGATAGTAAATAAAGATGTTAATAATAGCTAATAATGATGTAAAAGGCAAAAGGGTTCATCCAATACTTTTGGTTTGCATTTGATATAGACAGGATGCAGACCTACACTCCCTTTGTCTTCTGTGGCAGAAATGGACCAGGGCCTTGCTGCGGACAGCCAACTGGGCTCTGGCCCTTCCACGAGGCCTCCTAGACTGAAGAAGAAAAACACCTAGAAAAAGTTTGGGCATATGTTGTTAATTGAAGTAATTAACATTACTAAGACGCTGTGGATGTTTTTTGTTTTGTTTTTTTCCCTTGGAAAAGTGTATTTTTGAATGGCTAAACTAATCAGGCTTGGCTGGATGAGCAACCAACATTCAGGATCTATCCTGCTTGAAGTCTCAGAGTAAAAACTCCATATACAGCTACTTAAGCAAGAAATGTGATCCCCCAGCTTCTATATAGGATGATTTTACTCTGTCCTCTCTCTTCCGTTCTACTGCTGTCCTTCAAGGTACACTCAATGATTAGAAATGGAAATATGGCATCTCCTAAAGAAGTTGCTTCAGACACTTTCGTGACAGGGCACCATTTGTTAATGCTCTTTTTCTGGCTTTTGCCATGGGAAAGATACAGATTGCTTGATTACACTCATGCAAGACAATATATCTGCTTCCCAGATTCATGTCTGTGATATTATCTGCTTGAGTACTTGCAGATTCAGGCTCCTTTCTGCCTGGGATATTGTCTGCCTGCTCAGCCAATTGGCCTTTGTGTTTCAAGTTGATGTGAAAAGTCTTTATTGACAGAAAACAAATCAGTGCCTGATGCAGGAACTTCACTGTTGTTTCACTGGGACTAGAGCCATTGCCTCCTCCCTGGGCTTGCCAAAGATTGAGCTGTTGGATTTCCTGACACTAACAATACAAGGTGACAACTTGGGTCTTTCAGGAATTAAAATGCTCTTCGCATTGTGACTTTCCGCTCCCAAAATTTTACACTCCTCATCAGACCACACTTCTGGTCCTGACATATCTTTCAAATTTGGTCCTCTGTGGTTTTTATCCTTCAAAGTAGCATAGTAAGGATTTCTTGCATACTTATCTTTTTGGTTGACTGCAACCAAGGGCATGTAGTTTCTGCACATTACACATGCTTGTGACCTCTTGGCTTCACCAGCCAGTGTAGAAGAAAGTAAGCAGAAGACAGAACAGGCCTCCAAAGCTGGAGCCAATATTCACACATACATGTTTTTTTTTTCTGAGAAGATCGGTTTTCAAATTCTTCCCTGCAAATGGATTGATCTCAATGCACCTTAGCAAGGCTGTGCTGATGTAACTGTACCAAATAAACACTGTTGGGCTCTGAGTATGCAGCAGCATGTGCTGTACTGTTTGCATATATAACATGTTGATCTATAATCAACTCTCTGAAAAATGGGAATCAGGTTTCTTTCCTGTTTTTTCCTGCTGAAATTTGATAATAAACCAATATTCTAGGAAGCTACCTGCTTAGTATTTATTAGTTCTCTCTGGTGGCCATGGGCATTGCACACGAGGGATTTCCATCACTAAAACATCACATGATCAACACAGCAGCATGTGGGGTCTTTGAATTAGCACTGCCAGGTCTCTCATGCACACAGCAGAGAAAGTAGGCAACTCATGAAAAAGGGTGTGTTTTTAGAAACGTTCACACAAAGCTGAACATTTGGGTCAGTTTGGTCTTCCAGAGAGAAGTGACTATGTCAGAATATAATGTTTCTGTCTTTATGTTAAAAAAAACAAGCCAAAACCAAGCACTGCATCTATCTATCTATCTATTACATGACTTCAGAACTAGAGCTAGGGGAAATGAGGTATCTCCCTTCCACTGGAAGGTCGAGTAGGCTAACCTGTGCTTTCATTGGATAATATGTTGCAATTTAAAGGCTAAAAAAACACAACAAAACGATTTTTAAAATGTTCTGTTTCAGGGGAGCAAAAAAATTCGGTTCTGACAGTTCAAAATTAAATTGTGTCTGCATACGGCATCACAGTGTCTCATGGGAGAGGTTGCTTAAGTGCTCAGCGGTGAAGCTCTCCATCAGCGTAGATTTCCCCCAGAGCCTCCTGGTTCCCTTCTTTTTTAAGGTACTACACCCTGTTTCTTCCACTGACTCTTTACTAAACATGATCAGGCACTTCCCAGCCTTTAAACCTGAGTAAACTCACCAGGTTCTCCAGTGCAGTTCATATTATTTGATACCAATAGCATAATATAATCATTTTCATAGCTCACATAACAATATAAAATGAAACAAACCAAAAATCCAGGCGCATTTCTGCTTGTGCAAGCAAATTCAGCCAAAAGATTTAAAACAGCTTAATGAAATAAAATGGTTTCTGACTTCCATCCATCTGTGTTTAAAAGCCATATAAAATACACAAGAAGAGAAATCAACAGAAAGGATATGAATGTACCAAAATTTTAATTGCTGCTCTTCTGATTGGATGGAAAGGACTAAGTATATACAAGGCAGGAGTGGCACTAAATCGAAAGATTGTCTTCCCTTTGTTCAGTACTATAAATGTCTGGAAAACAAAATAGAAAATGAGAACATTCAGTATTTTAATTTATGCTCAGCTTTTCCCAGCCCACGTCCCATCAGGAAATTCCTGCCAGTATCCCATACTTCTTCCCCACTCCCTCCAGAAATCCCCAAATTCCTTTTCATTCAGTGAAGAGTTTTGTCCAAGACCCTCCCAGCAGAGCTCTTGCCTTTCCTATGGAAATATCCCAACTATATTTACTTCCTTCTCCTTGCAGGGTCCTGTGCCATCACCTCCATCATGGGGCTGGGAGAAGAGCCAAATCACCTTTTAATATAAAATTGACCTGGAGGCTAAGATGGAGGGGCTTTATGATGCTCGTATTTCTGAGGGCCAGGATTCTGACTATGTTGTTACTCCATCTTCTCTACCTTGAGCACTCTGTTGCTCGCAGGCAATGTTTTTTGTCTCACTGAGTAAGAAGCTGCATGAGGCACAGCTCCACAGCAGGATCTGACCTGAGGCACTGTCATTGTACTCAGGTTAATATGAGCGGAAGAAACCAATACTGTGACTTATCTTAAATCAAATGTGAATGGATGCTAGCCCAATTTACAGAGCTCTGAAGATGCCCCACCATGCGCAGAGGAACTAACATTCACCCAGAGACAGGATCAGGACACCCAATAGATAAACTCTAAGCAGTTCGTCCACCCTGAGTCTAAGACCTTCATGACACTAAAATTGCAAATCTGTATCCTGCTGCTTGTGCCTGGGGATAGCAGGCAAATTAAAAGGTAAATTAATTCTGTCCCTTCCAGGTAAGCAAGCCATTTGTCTTTATCCATTTAACTTTTATTCTGTAATTCTTGCACCTGTTTCTACACTGTTTTAATAGAAGTAGCATTGTAGTCATATTAATTCATTGTTTACGGGAAATAGCATAGCCCAAAATCAGGAACATCAGTACCTGAAAGAACTGGAAGCTTCCTAAAAACATACTGTGCTTCCAAGCCTTATTTTGTACCCTGTGTTGTGAAATGTCTGGAAAGGGGAACCAACTGTAGTAAGCAACCAGCCCAGCCCTGCTGTCAACAGCCTTTTGACAGAAGCTGTTTGCACTGTTGTGGCTTTGGTCCAGCCTACACATGATTTCTCATCAGGTGATGCTCGCTTTGGGACAAAGCTTACCCTTCTGCAAAATGCCAGCATTGAGCTTGCGGCTCACATCTCCCTTCAGGTCCATTTTGTTCAGCTTAAATGGAGTTGGACTATCCCTCAGCAGGAAAAGAACCGCTGCTGTCCAGGAATGGTTGTGGAGGTGCCTCTTGCTCTTATGCAGAGTGCTAGCACAAGACTCAAGTCACCCAGAAGCCCTTAACATTAAGGGGCTTAAGTGATAAACAGACTTGTGAAGAGTCAATGCTCATGCAGAAGGCAAGATAGGGTAGATAAAAAGCTCTGGCTTAATTTAACTCAGCTACTGCTCTGCTCTCATCAGGCACTGTATATTCATACTTAGAGTTATCTGAAAAGACCCAAGTTTTAATTATTCTTTTTATCCCTCTTTGCTCTCCTGCTTAGATGTTTTCTGGGAGCCCTGCTCATGCTGAAAGTATTTTTACTGGCTGTAGAAAGATAAAAAACAGAGCCCCCAAAACAGAGACAGTGTCTATGCTTTAGCAAAAGAACCAGGATGGCTGGCGGGTGCTCACCTTACGATCATTGTAGAAAGGGTCAACATCCTCCAACGGCTCCCCAATGAGCTCTGGAGGAACAGTCCCATAGATATCGGGCAGCTTCTTGCAAGCTTGCAAATCAAACTGGGGCTGAGGTTTCTCTTCTTCCCCCAGCTGCTCTCTGTATTCCTGCTTGGCATTCCTTGCAAGCTTCTCCGCAATTCGTTTCTCAATAGCAGCCAAGGATTCAGGCGTGAACCGGTGGAAGCTGTTAGTACCCGGTGGTAACAAGAAGTCAGCCATCTTTTCATCCTGCTTTGTCTTTACTGGTCTTTACTCCTAGTAGTGGAAACAGCTGGGGGAAAAAAAAAAAAAAAAAGTACCAAAGGTTAGTGACAGGAGCAAAGCAAGAAGAACAAAGCCACCAAAATGAAAAGCATAACCCAAACTTGCAGGCTATCTACTGACAATGAAGGAAACCCTTCATCTATATTTATGTGGTTAACAGAACATCAAGGAAAATAGAAATGACTGAAACTGTAATTTCAATTAGGAATCACTTGTGATCAGAGCTAAAAAACCTTTTTATATAGACTGTGGAGCATTCTTAAGTTTTTCAGTCACTTGAAATCCTAAATCCAAACTAAGGAGTAACTTAGATTCATACAAGCTTAGGTTTCATTGAAAGCCACAAGGATTTGGATTCCTAACTCATTTTTGAAAATGCAGTTCTGGGAGTGGATGAACAATGTGCCCAAGATGACTGCAGGGTAGATTCAAATCAGCCGATCTCCAGCCACATGATGCAAACTCTAAAATGCCCCAGCTGTTCTATTCCAAATTTAAAGAGTGAAGGGTTGAGTTCAGATTCTTAAATCACACAGGAATTCTTCATAACCTCTGTCTTAGGCTTCTGCAACATATTTTTTATTTTTCTTTGGGATAGGAAATGCCATCTTGAAGATATCTTTCAAGACTTCTGAGCATTTTCTTCTCCTCCACACCCTACAATCTGAAGGATGTTGGAAGCCCAAATGTGCGTGGCAAAGTTCTGGGATCCTCACAAGAGCACTCCAAGCTTCAAAAATGCCAGTTCATCGCATCTGAAAACCAGGCTCCTTCTATCCAAGACCAGTTTGAACATCTAACCCAAACCTGTGAGGTTTGACCATCTTGAGCTGATGGTGCTTCACTGCTGACAATTCCCATCTCCACCTGAATGAAAACAAGTGGAAATGGCCACATCTCTTCAACTTACATAAATAAAACCAAGCATGAAAAACACAGCTGAACAAAAAGCCTTCGTGTGTCTGCTTGGATAGCTGTTAAAATTCATGTAAAACTACTGTTTGAAAAGGAATGACATTTATTCTTGTTCTAGTAGCCTGCACAAATCCATCTAAGTGAACTGAAACCGTATTTTGCAATTTAATAGTGATTTTACTGGCACTTTTTTTCCAGCAAGGGAAATCCTCACTAAGCAACAATTAAAACTCATTTCACAGAATAAACACAGCCTTTCTCTTTCTACTACCACCAGACCATTCATACTAAATCAGAATATAAACTGGTGACAAACAAAATAGTAGATTTTGAGGTAGGCTACCCTACTGCATTTGTCAATGCATGCAGGACACAATTCTTTGTTCAGCCACAATTGTTGTTTTCTGCTTTCAGATGGTATTTGTCTATTTACAGTGGATAGTTCCAGATAGTTTACTTCTATTAGGCTCTGTGATGACAGCATTTTTGTTAGCAAACAAGACTTTAACTGGACTCTGCATGACAAATAGCATATTTATTGACTCAATTTATTTGAGTAAAGTACTCTTTCAAATAACTACTGTTTTTCCTATTCTGACTTCGTTTTAAAATGAATTCATTAAATTGTCATTGATCACAGCGTATCATACAGGAATGATTTACTGGAGCTCGTACATTATACTCCACATTACTGCATGTTTGAACAAGCAGGGCTAAAATGAATTAGCCTTCCTGGAGTTTGGGTATTCTAACATTCTTCTTTATTTAGATACTCTCTTTATTCCTCTCCCCTCCTCCCCTGCATCATTTGTTTTATCCCCTTCCTCCTGAAAAACAGGAAATTAGAAGCTTTCCACAAATTGAGTTTTCTTATTCTCAACGCTTTGTGACTCAGCACCAATGTGAGCAAATAGAATTTCACTTTCTATAAATGACATCAGTACAGGTGGCCAGAGAATTCTCAGAGTTTTTTGGTCATTCTGACTTTTGTTTCTTCACAGTGAAAGCTGCCTCGGTGCTGAAGCAGAAAACAAAAATCAGTGGCTGGTCAGTAATTCTGGAAGGGCACAGACTAGGTTTCTAAACCCAAGAGGAGGTTATTGTGGGCTGTTAGTTGAGGTGTAGATAATCAAGAGCGCTGTGAAGACAGCGAATGTGGAATGATTGTTTGCTTTTTCTCATAATAGAAGGATGGAGAAATTTCAAGTGAAATCACAAAGGAGCAGGTTTGAAACAACCACTGGAGCCACTTTCCACGTGGCGCAGTTATCCTGTGAAACTTCTTGGCTGCAAATGGCAAGGATTCACAAAGCCATGAGACAAATCCAAGGGAAAAACACCCATTTTTTTAATGTTTTAAACACAAAAGTGCTGTCTCTGACTGAGAAAATCCCTTACCTATAGAACATGGGTGTGTGCAAGAATGACTACTCATTTTTGTCCTGTTTTCACACTCTTCCTAGGCTACCACTCTGGAGAAACACATCACCTGCTCTTATGTACTTTTGTCCTTACGTAGCACTAATGCCAGCACAAAACATCCTATGCTGCCTTGCGAAAAGGCTCAATCTGCCCACCAACTGTGGCTGACCCGAGCTTGTGCAGGTACAGAAGAATTCAGAGAACCAAAGTTAATACTCAGGTATTGCCGGATATTAATGCTCAGGAACCTGCATTGCATCAACTACCTGCTTTCAGTGCTTTGGAGCATGGGCTGGGTGGGTGCCTCCAACCTACACAGACATTCCCTTTGCTCAAAAACTGGTGGCAGCCACCCCCGCATCACCTTCTCCACACAACTGGACTGGAGGCATGGCCATATAGCGTGAAGGACACTGAGAATTTTACTGAGATGTTAAGAGAATGTGTGAAATGTCTCTACTAAGTGCCACAGTTTTCATGGGTGCTGCTTGATCACAAAAACTGAATCTTTACTAGAAATTCAGTGTTCTTCTCAGACTTCCAAAAGAAGTCATTCTGGCAACAGAACTGATCAAAATTTTTTTAAAAAGAAAAAAAAAAAAAGGATAGGGCAATATGAGTGGGATAAAATAGTTAGAAAACCTTAATTAAAATGAAAAGTGTTTGAGGTTTTGAGGGTTTTTTGTTGTTGTTTTTTTTTTTTTAAAAAGAATTATTTTTGCTTAAAACTCTCTCTTGTTAGAGAATTTAATCAACTTCAAACCAGTCAAGACCAGATCCTTTCAATTTTATCTGCAAATTCCAGAAATAGAGCCATCTAGGTACAAGTGGAAAATCCTACACAAACTTCATTAGAACTTTTGCTACCCTTCTATTTACTTTTCCTGAAAAAATTACATTTTCCAGCATCCTTACAACTGAAATATCTTGACAGGTTCTGTCTTCATATTGTATATAAGTTAAAGTTCCAAATTTTAATATATATATTTAACCTAATTATTTTTCAATTTCATATGCTTTCAGGAAATGGACAAGATAATTTCACGGGTCTTTTCTATGTCTAATTTCTTTTAATCTATGAATTGCAAACATTTCTACAAATAGGCAGGGTTAGCCCAGATGTTTCTTAAAAGGGTAAGAAAGCACCACAACTTAAAAAGGGAAATCATCAATGACTGAATCAAAGAGCTGGAATGCCATTTCTTAAGAGATAATAGCTGTTGTGACTCACGTTTTTACAATATGAGCCTGGATTTTTCCATTCCTCTCAGGCATATTTTTGAAGTACAAGGCTTCAAACACATTGTTTCTGTGATATCACCATGCACAGAATGAACATTTCCCTCTTGCTTTGTCTTTGTTAAATTCAGTTAACATCGGTTCTTGCTGATAAAAATGTACTGGTTATGTAAACAAAATGTGCATATGAAAATAAAGCCCCAAGATGCATATTTTCTATGGCACGGCAAGAAGTGAGAACAGTACAAACAAATAAGATATTGGTAATGCCTCTATTTATTCAGAAAAGATAAACGTCATTTTCCATTACAGTTTTAGCTTTACTCTCATAGGCTTCAGCCAACCCAGCTAAAAAGACCTTTCAGGTTCTCTCAACATGACCTGCCTGCCCTACAAGCTTTCCCCTGACTCACCCTGGATGGGCGACCATCACCCAAAAGGCCACTTTGGGCAACAAATTGCCTGCAGGGGTGTAAATACAAGGAAAGTGGGTCCTCCTCACATCCACCTACCTGCCCTCCTGCTCTTGCATGGGCTTTGTGGACTCAGACCCCCATCCTAGTGCCTACCAACCTCTTATCATGGCCCAAGAGGCTGACACAAGCCAGCAAGGAGGTTTCATCCCCCAGAAGCAACAGGGGAAGCAGAGGCTGAGGATCTTATTGTGTACTGCAGCTGTCTGGACTCTAACTTCAGAGAAGCCACAGCTTTTTTCACCTCCGTCTTCTGCTTGCACGATGGCATAGGATTGCTTGCCTGGCGTGGTATCAAGGACACGCATGCATATATTTCAGACACTTGGCAAAGATAACAAAAGAGCCAAACTTGAAGATCAACAATGTGAAAGCAGCGCTTACAGGCTAAAGGTTAGATACCATCAGACATGCTCATCTCCAGTAGGATTGTATTCATTTAACCCTGCTGATTTCTGTGATGTCCCTCAACAAGCTACTACTCACCGTGGGCTGAGGAGATGGATGATAGCCTGTGGCACCAGGTATGTTTCCACTGCAATTCTGCTAGATCTAAATCTTACAATGTAACAATCAGGAGTCCTAAATTCTCTTTTTGTTTGAGAAATGTTTGTGACTAAATATAAACTTTCCATTCCTAACTACTGTGGTAACAAAAACGGTCATGAGGATGGGTTTCTTTTAAGTGTTTGAGACTACATGGAATATTGTTGTCTTTCCCTCCCCTACTCTTTTCCATATAATCTCTTTGGAATTTTCCTTTGACCTGCAGAGCACTGCAAAATATAAGAATAATAGGCTGGGGAAATAAAGAACAATACAATGACACATCTAATTTAATGTTAACTGGCCTAGATTCACACACTCTTATGCATAAATTTACACATACGCACCAAAAATTTATCATGTTTAAAAAGACTACAAGGTGATAAGGGACTGCATGGAAGTTTTATTCCAG